GATACACTGCACAAAACATTTTGCTACGGGAACCAGATTCAGAAGATCTTAATACGAAAACCGTGTTACTACGGGGCTCTCACTCACGAGTCCACAATAGAAGAAACTTGCTAAATAAGCCTTGTTACGGTAATTCCATTCAAAAACCCTGCTCAAGAGTCCGTTTCCAAAAACCCTGACCAAGAAGACGTAATACGGGAATCCTACTCAAGAGTCCTTGCTCAAAGAACCCAATTACCTAATCCTTTTTATGGGAGCCGTACTCAAGAGTTCTTACTCAGAGAAACAGAAGTATATTCCTGACGACATGTCTATTATGCAGGAGTCATTACTAAGAAAACGTAATACACAAGCCATACCACGAGAATCTGATTCATGAATCCTTACTCAGAGAAGCCTAAAAACAAAATCCGTACCATGGAAGTGTTACACAAAAACTAATATTAAAAGAACCTGAATGAAGAAACCGTACTACGGAACTCTTACCCAAGAGTCCTTAATAAGAGAACCTTGATACAGAAGCCTGACTACGGAAATGTTACTCAAGACTCCTAATGAGAGGGTCCTCGTTCCTTGGCTAACCATCACCCCTCGCCACCTCAGAGCGTACGTCCGACATCCCACCGCCCTCCCCGCTCACACCCTCCATCGTCGTCATCCTCATCCTCATCATCAACAGCATCAGCAGCAGCACCCTCCTCATCCTCACCACCACCAGCATCACCATCATACCATCATCATCCTCACAATCATTATCAGCATAATCATCAGCACCATGATCATCGTCATCAGCATCAGCAGCAGCAGCATCCTCATCATCATCGTCCCTATCATCATCGTCGTCATCATCATCACCATCACCATCATCATCATCGTCGTCGCCGTCGCCATCATCAGCATCATCATTCCGTTCATCGTCAGAATCATCGCCATCATCACCACCATCATTATCAGCATAGTCACCACAGTTTTCAGCATCGCCGCCACCACCACACCTGTCATCATCATCAAAAATCATCGGCAGCAGCCGCATCATCGTCATCGCCATCATCATCATCAAAAGCATCAGCATCATCATCATCATCATCATCATCATCATCAACAACAACAACCTCATCATCAGCACGGTCGTTCTCATCGCCATCGTCATCGTCATCAGCATCACTATCGTCGTCGCCATCATCGTCACCATACCTACCCGTGCCACTGGAGTCAACACCCTCATCGCCGCCGTCGCCATCACTACCATCACCCATCACCATAGCAAAGTATCACCATAACACTCGCCACCCGCATCAGCAACAGCATCATCACCCAACCTAGCCAACCCAACCATTATCGTCGCCAGAGTCAGCAACACATGCACCGTCATAATCATCGACATCAACATCATTCACATGTTCACCACAATCGTCACCACAATCACCATCAGCATCAAACATCAACATTAACATCATCAGCAGCAGCATCATAAGCAGCATCACCATCATCAGCATAATCAACGTCATCAGCAACATCACCAGCAGCATCCTGATCACCATCCTTAGCATCACCATAACCATCGTCGTCATGGGAATCGTGACGGTCATCATCATCATCATCAGCATCATCATCATCATCACCATCATAACCATCATCAGCAGCATACGCACCACCATATTCACCCTCAGCATCATCAACAAAAACACGACTGAACATCACCAAGGGCATCATCATCACCATCACCACCGTCTCAAGCGAAGAATCGTCATGATATATATATATATATAGAGAGAGGAAGAAAGAAAACAAAAGAGCGCGAAAGACAGCTGAATTCTTGAGGACATTGCGAAAAACTTTCGAGCGAGAGCTCGACTCCTGAGTAAAGTGTGCGGAAGGCTTGAGCGACAAGTCTAGGCGACATCGTGCAAATGCCAAAGAAGTTGAAAGCAAGAACGCACTTCCTGGGCAAACCGCGAGAACGTTTCGAACGAGAGCGCGATGCATTAGAGGAGTGGGGCGTCCCCACGGATCCGTTGGAATCCCCCTGAATCGTGGGGGATCGTTCGGGCTCCGTCGGGGTCGTCTGAAAGCCAAAGGAATCCGAAAGACTTCTCTGGAGTCCAAATAAATCCATAGGAATCCGAATTCGTTGGGAATTCACAGAAATCGTATGGAATCTGCTGGAACCCACAAGTTCCCAAAAGACTCCATCAGAAATCCTCTGGGGTCCTAAAAGAACCCTGAAGGATCCGCCCGGCTCCCTAGAAATTCAGAACACTCCGCTCACATCCGTAGGAATACATTAGGATGCCTCGGATTCTCCAGCAAAACAATCGGATCCCCAGGAATCCAGGAATGCCACTGATCCCATCGGAATCTCCTACGTGCAGCGACCCCCCCCCCCAAATTCGATGCGATGCGCCCCACCCCACCCCACCCCCCCCCACCCTCCCCCTTCTCCCACGGGGGGGGTCTGAAACCCATCGTTCTCAACAAAAACAGTAGCAACAACAACAACAACAACAACAATCACTCTAAGACTGTTCGCTCTTACTTGCCCGCGTGTCATTCAAAACGAATTCCCCCCACACGCCCTCGATACCCGCCTTTTTTGTTTTCGATCACACCCCCTTCGGGGGGATTCTTTCTCTTTAAGGGGGGGCGGCGGGCTTAGACAGGCGGACAAACCTGAACTGGCGGACAAGCCTTCGTGGGCGTACATGTGCCCGCCACTGGAGTTAGTGTGGGCCCTGCAAGAAGAGGAGGGGGAGAACGAGGGAGAGTGGGAGGAAGGGAGGGGGAGGGACGAAGGATAAGGGAAAACGCCAGGAGAGAAGGAGCGAAGAGGGGGGCGGTTGATTAGAGGCAGAGAGAGAGAGAGAAAGACATATAAGAAAGGTAAAGAACGAGAGAGAGAGAGAGGGGAGAGAGAGAGGGAGAGAAAGAAAGAAAGAGGGAGGAGGAGGCAGGAGAGGGGAGGGAGAATGGAGGAGGGAGAGGAGGGAGAGGGGATAGGGCAGAGAGGCATAAGGATGAGGGAAGAGAGGAGGGAGAGAGAAAGGAGGAGAGGAGGGAGGAGGGAGGAGGGAGAGGGAGGAGGAGCAGGAAGGTAAGAGCGTGAACGTTCGAAGAGGTCATAGGCGAAAGCGCCGTTCCTGAAGGAATTCTCGGGCGGGAGCCCACGACGGGCGGGCGATCCCCTGACGGGCGGGTCGGGCGGGTGGGACATTCAAGCGGGATGCCTGAGCATGGCGAGAGCGCGATTACGAAGTAAATTGTAACGGCGTCCTTGGCGCAGCGTCTTTCCTGAGCGTCGAAAGCGCGATTTCTGAATAAATTGCATGGAAGTTACAAGCGAGAGCGCAATTTCTGTATAAAATGTGTAGGGTTCTCTGGCGGGAGCGGGGGTCATGATTACATTGCGAGGAACTCTTGATTCAATTGCGAGGAAGTCTCAAGCGGGAGCACCGTTCCTGAGTAAATTGTGAGGAAGTCTCAGATGGGAGCGGGGCTCCTGATCAAATTGCGAGGAAGTCACAAGCGGGAGCACCGATCCTGAGTAAGTTGTGAGGAAGTCTCAGGAGCGGGGGTCCTGAGTAAATTTGGAGGAAAGCTCCGGCGGGAGCCGTTGTTGTTGTAATCTGGGGGGCCCGGGGCCCAGTTTGAGCACCAAGACTTTCCCTGTCAAAAAACAGGGTGCGAGCGTCGAGGGGCACACTTCGATTGAAAAAACAGTATGCGCCGTATGCACCGGTGAGGGGGGATCAACAATAATTATTCTTCAGAAGTGAGAGTTCAACAACAATGATATTACGACTGTTCGCTCTTATCTGCTCGCGTGCCATTCATCACGTGTACCCCAAATCGAGAGGACGAACGGAGGGAAAGGACAAGGGGGAGGGAGGAGGATGGAGCACGAGAGGGAGTAGCAGGAGGGGGGCCCGGAGCAGAAAACATGTGGCAGAACCAGACGTGCAGATCGGGCGGGTAGCGGGCGGGTCGGGAAGGCGGGCCCTGGCGGCCAGGTCGAGCAGGCGGGTTGCTGAAGCGAGCGTCCTGCATGAATCGCGAGAAAATATTGAGCGACAGCGCGATTCCCAAGTAAATCGTGAGGAAAGCTACGGCGAGAGCGTGATTCCTGAGTGTCGAGGGCGCGATTCCTCCACATCACTTGTGAGGACGTCCCGCGCGAGAGCGCGATGTGAAAATAAATTGTGAGAAAGTATTGTTGTAACTCGGAGGCCAGGAGCGCAGTTTGACGTTCAAGACCTTCCCGGATAAAAAACAGCGTGCGAGCGGCACTGGATAGGAAAGGGATGCTGGCTGATGTGGGAAGCCAGGCAAGGTAAAGAGAGAGAGGGAAAGAAAGATCAAGACGGGCAGGCGGATGAAAGAACTAATCCGCTGGCCGCGTTTGTGGAAGCCTTCCGCTGCGGAGTCCAGGCTGCCAATGGTCAGGATGTGGCTAGAACTTGAGCAAAAATGTCTTCTTACTGTACGCACTCAAAGTTCAAAAGTCTAATTTCTCTCATTCACTGGATGAGATATTCTTTGAATGCCTGATAATGCCGGCGACATCAGCTTGGATCAGATGGTGCGCGCTCACTACCTAAGAAGCACTAGATCGGCAAACTACTAGATTGCATGTTCTCCTGGTCGACCCCCCCCTCAAGAGCGCCTCGAATGTATGCTGCGAGTCTCAATGAACATGATGCTTGTGCACGTTAGAAACTGGAGGGCGTCATAGCCTGCCATAGATCCTGGTTAGTCTCCGCGTGACGAGTTAGGCATGGAAAAACCTATGTAGGACAGCTACCACTGGAGAGCAGCTTGCTCCAGAATCCTCAGGGGTAAACGAGACGCGGGCAAGTAGCTACTATATCTCCTCTCGCGTACCAATGGCGGCCCCTTTCCCCTGTAATCCCCATTCCCTTCCCTTCCTGCTCCCATCCCCCTCCCCTTCTCGTCGTCCCCTGTTCGATCAGCATCATCGTCCGTCGTCTCGTCTTCCCGGTGGCCTCGTGCGTTGGCCCTCGCCAAAGATTGGCTCGTCGCCCCAGCAGCGCCTGGACAGAGAGAGAGGAGAACAAAGGAGGAGGACGACGACGATGAGGACAAGGATGGGGACGACGACAAGGAGGACGACGACAATCACAATGAGAGAGGGAAGAGGGAAGAGGGAGTAGAATAGGGGGAGGATGGAGGCAGGGGGAAAAGGCGGGAAGGCGGGCCGTGCTTATCTGCAACGAATAAGATATGGACTGACAGCGCGGTGCCACAACGGGAGCACGTTGACATCGACGTCGAACAACGGACGAGCCTGTGCTTGACACGCCCCCTCGGCCGTGACTCGCGGCAGGGGTAGACTAGACTAAGTAACCGTGATTCCGCATCTGACAAACAAGACTTGACTCATGGCTTTTGGGGTCCCGCCCTACGTCGCCCTGGGCATCGAAACTCGGTTTGCACTCTGACAGCTGAAAACTGCCTGTGAGTAGGCGTCGTGCCCTTCGCGCCTCCATGATTCGCGCTGCCCACCAGACGCATGCCTCACAGGGTCATCAGCTCAAATGATCACGAACATCTTGTTAGCACCGTTCCAAAGTTCGCACCGTCACTCCAACCAAACTGAAGGTGTAAGGATGTAGTGAGACAAGAACGAAGCAGCCCCCACCCGCAGGGATAGATGCCGCATGGGGTCAATCAGATCCTGTGTTTGAATGCCGCGCCTGATTGGCACCTGGCCACCACCACGGCCACCATGGATTGCGCGATCCGTGAGCTACGCCATCCGTTGATTAGGGCATCCATGATTTGCGCAATAGGTTGCGCCATAGGTTGCACTCAGCAGTCGAAATCAGAATGGCGTGTAATTGGTTGGGCCACGGGGCGCGCGCTTGGCTGCCAAAACAAAAACTGTCTACTTGGGTTACACCATAGGTTGCGCCATCGGCTACCGGACATCAAATGGCAAGCCTTCGGTTGCGCAATAGGTTGCGTCCCCAGCCGCCAACAATCCACCGACCCTGTCGGCGTGTGGAAGAGGCTTCTCCGTCTGCCTCCTCTTCGTCGTCGTCCTGGTCCTTCCCTTTTCCCACAGCGTCTTCTCCTTTTCCGGGGCCTCCTCAAGTGTTTCGGTCCAAGCCCAAATTGAGCAACGTTGTCATTGAGTCGAAGGGAAGCCCCTTCCCTTTGATCCCTTCCCTGGCGCGGGGGGGGGGTCCCGGGGGAGGACCTGGGGGAGGAGCCGGGGGAGGACCTGGGGGAGGACCCGGGGGAGGACCCGGGGGAGCACCCAGGGGAGAACCCGGGGGAGGTCCCGGGTCAGATACGCATGCAGCCTCCCCCCCCCATGAAGATGACCTCCAAGATCGCTCATGTAGCCCTCGATGGCTCCAGATCGCTCCCAAGAAGCCTACTCGAGGCTCGAAGATCGCGCCAACACGTCTCCGAGTGGCCACGGAGGCTTCCAAGAACGCTTCCGAGATGGCTCCAGGTAGCCCCGGAGCCTCCCAAGGACGTTCCCGAGAGGCCAAAATCATTGATTTCCCATGGGGAAACGTACACTTTGGGCATATACGACTTTTCGGTCTTCGCGGCGTTGAAGACAATCCAAGAAGCCCCCAAGAAGGCCCCAACACGGCTCAAGAGGCGCCCAAGAGGCGCCCAAAACAGCGCTACCAAGACGGCCCAAGAGAGCCCAAAGAGGGGCCCAAAACGCGGAGCCCGAACAAAAAATCCGAGCCTTCCGCCTCAAGAAGCTCCCTGGAGGCCCCAAGAGGCCCCCAAGAGGCCCCAGGAGACCCCAAAGAGGCCCTCAAGAGGCCCCAAGAGGCCCCCAAGAGGCCCAACAAATGCCCCAAGAGACACCAAAACGGCCCCCTCCTCCACCTCCTCCTCCTCATCCTCCTCCTCTTCCTCCTCTCCCTTGCTCCCCCTCCTCTTGCTCCTCGTCTGCCTCCTCCTCATCCGCTTAGGAACAGCTCGGCGGTTACGCAATGGGGCAACTCCCGGGGGGGGGGGGGGGTCCCGCCTCTCATCCTCCTGCGTCCTGGTGCTCCGTTGGCCCTCCGGAGCCGTCTGCGGGCCCTTTCAGCCTATCTTAAGGCTCCGCTCCTTGGAGACCTTTAGCCGTTTATAGACTCTTGGAAACCTCTGGCGGCACTCTTGACAGCCTCTGCGGGCGCTTTTGGACCTCGCTTGACGCCGTATTGGAACCCTCTCGGGCCACCTGAGGGCGCTCTTTGCCTATCTTGGCACTCTCTGGAGCCATTCGCGAACCCTGGAGGAGGCCTCTTGAGCTGTCTTCGGACGACCTTGCAGCCATCTGGCGCCGTCTTCGAGCTATCTGAGGGCATCTTGGACTCCTCTACCTCCATTGTCTTCGTCGTCGCTGCCTACAAGGTCGGCGACATCGGCCGTAAGGCCTTCGCAATAAGACGGCCTGCTCACGTGTGCGACCAGTCAGTCCGTCAATCGTTCGGGCATGGACCTCTGGGCGCAGGTGGTCTACAATAACACCCCGCAGATCGAAGACAGCCGCGGAGGCATAAAACCCGCTTGCGGTTTTAACTTAAAAAATGAATCAACAAAAAAAGCTGCGGCTTTATGCCGGCGGCGGCCGACAGCGGCGGCGACGGGCGAATTGCGCGCGCGGTAAGGCAACTCATTTTACATAACCCTTCGCTGGGTCCTTCGCTGAGCAAATCCAGCATCCGTTACCCGTGCATTCGCTGAATTCCCCCTGGTACGCCCTCGCATTCGCTAGGCGGATCCAACAAAGATCCTCGGTTTCGCCGCTTCCCCCAAGGCGCGCCCTTGCATTCGCTGGGCGCCATTGGCATCCAAGGCCCTTGCATTCGCCGGGCTCACCCTGGTGCGCCGTCGTATTCGCTGGACGGCACCTGCGCCGTCCAATTCCCCTGTTGGGCTCAGCCTCCACTGGGGCGCCCTTGGGCTCGCTAGCTACAGGTTCAAAAGCCCTTGCTTCTGCTGGGCGCCCCCATGCTGCGCGCAAGCGTGCGCTTGGCGGTGGAGCCGGCGTCGGACCGGAACCTTGTTTGCGCCGTGGCCCTGTTCTGCGTCAGATACAGGTGTGCCTCAGCAGCTGATGGGCTGCGCCCTGGGCGCATTGTGATCGGGCGCGCCTGCCCGGGATCCCAGCCCAGCTGCAGTCTTACTCTCTCCCTCCTCTCTGCTCACCCCAGGGCATCCTGCAGAAGCTCGTCACCGCCCCTAGATCGCGCGGCGGTTTGGGGGGCAGGAAAATCTCCCAAGGCGGCCAGTGCCGAATGGGTACCTTCTTGCCGCCTGGCCTCGCGGCCTTTGCGGCACCCTCAGAAGAGAGCGTGTTCGGGCGCCGCGGGTCGCGAAGTTAACCCATGAGGCCTGGTTACCTCCAGCAGCGGGCTGCGGCTCACGCGCCCGAGCGGTTTCAACACCCGGTCGCCTCTGCCTCCCCCACCTTGCTGGCCAGCTGGTCGGCGTCTGCGGCCAGGCGGTGCGCCCGTGGCTGACATACGGCTCCGCCCGTTGCTGCGGCGCGCGTTCCGCAGAGCTCGCGGGCGGCGAAGCTCTGCGGGGCGGGGCAAGCTGCGAGGAACAGCCCGGCAGGTCGAAGGCAGCCGCGGCAGGCGAGCAAGCCCACCTTCAAACAAGACCCACAAACCTTGCAGGCTGCCTTTCTGGGTTGGGATCGGGCGCGCCTGCCCAGGGTCCCGGCCCGGCAGCAGGCTTCCTCTCTCTGCCCTCTGCTCCTCCGAGGGCATCTCGCAGAAGATTTCCTCTGCCAAATCCCCTCTTCAGTTCGGGGGGGATGCCTTCCCCCTTCCCTCGCTGAGGTGTATTGGGAGGGGGTCGCGAGGTGTCAGAGGGCCCTTTTTCGCCCAAGATGGCTCCAACAGGGCCTTCGAAGCTCCCAGATGGCCTCCAAGACGGCCCAAGATAGCAGGGCAGGGCTTCTCCCCCCGATTGGAAGGGGGAGGGGGGGGGCTCTGCTGGACATGCCCCCAGGTAAGCAGGCGTCGGAGACCTTGGAGTACCAGCATGATTTGCACACAGGCGGGAGACCCAGCGGCGCTGCGAAAGACCTGGGCGTTGGCAACCAAAGAGGGAAGGCGGCTGGCGGCGGGGCGGCTGGGGCGAGGAGCCGAGGTGCCACCGCCACCTATGCCCGTGGCTGCGGGGATGTGGAAGGCACATGGGGAGTTCCCACGAACGCGCGGTACACCTGGGAGAACGAGAAGCCGGCGGTGGACCCGCGGGCCGCCGCGACGAGGCGGATGCGCCAGAGGGCCCGCCTCACCTCCTGCCAAGGGTGGTGGGTCACTGGCACCCTTGCGGCGGAGGGGCAAGGACCCAGGTCTACGGCACGAGCGGGCCGTCACCCGCACCCAGGCTGGAAGAGGAAGGACAGCCCGAGGTGCAGCTGCTGCTGGACGTCAACTGCCCCCCCCAGGGGTGCAAGCAGGACTGCTGGCGGAGGAGGTGGAGGAGGCGCGGCTGCTGCGAGGCGGCGCCGAGGTTCAGCGGGAGGACCAGGTTGCGGTGATGGGCACCTCCGACGCGCTGAGGAGGGCGCTCAGGCACCCCCCTTAGGGCGACAACGGAGGTGCTGGCGAGCTCTTATGCAGGCAGACCCAGAGTACGCGGCTGAATGAAGCAGGCTGAGGAACGCGGGGATCTGCCGACGGCAAGAGGACGAGGAGGAGGAGGAGGAGGAGGAGGAGGAGGGCCGAGATTCGCCTGTGGCTGCACGGGGCCCACGCTCAGGACCGACGGGGCGGGGCGGTGGCTCCCGACGAGGGGCAGGCGTCGCCAGACCCGAAGCAGCCTTGCCGCACTTCCGCCTGGAGTCGGACGAGATCGAGCCAGGTTACTGCTGCAAAGCGCTTGCTCTGGGAGGCGCACGGGGCAGGACCGGGCCGGGCCCGCCACAGAGCACTACCGACACTGCGAGCGCCTCAGCAGCGGGGTAGAACCCCAAGAAGCCCCCGGAGGAGAGGCGGTCGGCACGGCGCGCCAGTGGAAGGAACAGAAGAACGAGCAGCGTCGAGGAGGCGTCGCCAAGCGGGGCGACCTTCGCCCAGCGCTTCGTGCACGCGAAGGAGGGGAACGAGTGGGTGCCACAGGGGTGGGGTCCCAGGCCTCGGGGTCCGGACAAGGCCCTAGAGTTGCCCGACGAAGATAAGAGGGCGGCGGAAGAGACAGAAGGTCCAGGAGAAGCCACGCCTACCCCTCCGGGAGGCTGGACCTGCGCACAAAGGTTGCAAGCCGCGCTCCTCGATCTGGAAGGGCCGGAAGGGGGCCCCCGCCGTCGCCAGCCGCTCACAGGACAGGGGGCCCTCCCTGGGAGGAGCGGCGGGCGCAGGCCCAGGAGGATGAGGCCATGGAGAGAGGGCGGGCTTTGAGGCGTGAGAAAGCGGCGAGTGGCGCGCCGACAATCAGACTGCGCGTCGAGCTGTTCCCGTTCAAATTGGAGCCCGCCGACGAGGGCGAGGCACCCCCCCTCGCGAGGACGGGCCAGGAGTTCCGGCGCCAGGGGGTCGCGGGCAGACAACGAGGACGCGGCTGAGGAACGCCGGGAGACCGCTGCTAAGAAGACGATGACGATCTACCTGAAGACGTTGGAGCGCACGCAATGGAGGCGAGCCAGGGCCTGATGCTCAGGGGCTCGGGGGCCACGGGCCACGTCGCCAGGGGAAGCCGGAAGAACTACCACATGGGCCCCTACCTGGTGGGGAGGGGTTCGCGGTCGGCCCGCACCGAGGTCCGTCCGGCGAGGTCCAGGAGGAGCCGCAGCCGCAGCTGAGGATTGCAGGAGCGTCCCATGGCGATCAGGGGCCAGGCGGGCGAGGAGGAGCCCTGGGTGAGGCCTACCCGGGGCCGACCTTGGCGAGGGGATTTGGGTCCGGAGGCGCTGCCGTCCCCCAGCCCCCTGCGCGAACCTTTGCCCGAGCCGACGCGGGAGCGAGTGCGCTCGCCCGACCTGGGTCAGGAGGAGGACCCCCCTTTGGACGAGTACGTGGTCCCGAGCCCATCGAGAGCGAGCTCCAGGGATCCCGACTTGGACCCGGACGCGGTCGACGAGGGGGTCTACGACGCTTCCAACACCGAGGTAGTAGAAGAGGCGCCCCAGGGTAGAGACGCGAGCTCAGGACGGGGAGGGGAGGAGGCGGAGGGGCGCGCCAGAGGCTTGGAGTCCTCCGCCAAGGTACAGCCAGAGGAGCTGAGGAGGTAGATCGGCGCGGTTGGCCCAGCAGAGGGGACCGCGGCGCTGGTAGCCTTTCGGAAGAAGCGGTCAGCGAATACCGAAGGGCAGCGGGCAGCCAGCAACGGAGGTTTGGCTTGTCCGAGCGCATCCAGAGGTCGGCGAGGGATTCGAGGCGAGCCAGCACGGTCGGACAGCAAGCAGTGCTGGCCGCTAGGGCACCAAGGGCACTTACAACGTCGACTGGCAGCAGTGGAACGTGTTCTGTCACATCTGCGGGAGGAGCCCCATCCTCGACAGCAAGACTAGGGAGGCGAAATGAGAGGAGGAGGAGGAGGAGGAGGAGGAGGAGGAGGAGGAGGAGGAGGAGGAGGAGGAGGAGGAGGAGGAGGAGGAGGAGGAGGAGGAGGAGGAGCTGCTGTGATTATTTGTGCATCTCTGGAATCACCTCCACCACGCGCACGGCACGATCCGCGCGAAGCTGCTGGGAACAAGGGCCCAGCACGTGTGGCTCGGGGAGCAGGACACGCTGCTGGACAAGCCGAGGCTTTGGATGGCGCTGAACGGGATCGAGGGCTTGCAGGGCCCCAGGGCACGGAAGCTGTCGGTCACTGTCAGGCTGCGTTCGGCTCCCGTTCGCTGAGGATCGAAGGGGCCACGGCGTTGTATCACCACTTCGGGGACACCGCGGTGGTGACGGGGTGGGGAAGGTGGAACAGCGGTGCATTCCACCTGGACCTGTGGGAGGCCAACGAGCCGTCCCGTGGAGTGTCGACAGCGATGGCAGCGTCGGTGTCAACCCTCTACGTGGGCTACGACGCGGCGGGTGAGAGGGCCCGCAAGAGTGGCAGGCCCAGGGCCGGCCCAGCAGGAGGCTGAGGGCCCCAGGAGAAGCGAGGTGTGAGGAGTGGTGGCCTCCCAGTATGCAGAGCGGCCCGCTGGTGCGAGGCGCGAGGCGCGCAGGCAGTCGACGGGTGACTGGACACGTGCGTCGGCGCCCATGCCGGCGAGGAGGTGGAGAAGGGGGTGTGCGAGCCGCTCTGGCCTGAAAGGAGATGGAGGGCATCGAGTGTCCCATGCTGAGGCAGCGAGGTGCGCCAGACCGCCAGGGTGGTCAGTCTCAGGAGCTGGGCGGGCGAAGGCCCGCACGAGGAGGCAGGCTGCGAGGAGAAAGGAGGTCGGGGAGGCCCGCCGGTGAGGGCCCCGACCCATGAGGTGTGCGAGATGGATGGGCCGAGGGCCGCGGTGAGCGGCACGGTGCGAGCCCACCCGCGCTTCGGGAGGGGCGCGCGCGTTCTGCGCGGCATCGGCCACAAAAAGGTGCAGCGGCAGTCATCGTCGCATCGCAACGCATCATTGCAGTCACCGCGTTGCGATTGTTTGTGCGCGACCCCAGCTCTCTTCAAACGTGAGACTTCGTGCGTAGCGGAACGCAAGGTTGTAAGTGGCTGCGGCGGGTTGGGGGTGCCCGCTCTCTCTCCTTCTCCTCTCTGTCTCTCTCCCCTTTCCGCCGCCCATCTGGGCTCAAGTTGTTCTCAGGGCCGTACCCTCCCGCAGCCTCCCAGGCCACAGAAAACTTGTTGAGTCGCCAAAGCGGGCCAAGGGTCGCAATGAGCTGCACGAGTGCGCCCCTCCCGCGCTTCCGGAGTGGTGCGTGCGTTCTGCGCGGCATCGGTTGCACCAACCACTGGAAAGCACTGGCGGGATGCGTCGGTGCAAATTGCAGACGTGCTTATGACTCATATGACGAATGCGCTCGAAGGGGTGGTAAGAAGCGGGCGTGCCCTTGTAGGGAAGGGACGGGCCGAAGCGAGCAGGGAAAAAGGCCGAACGAGTGCCACGCGTATCCACGAAACTCCCTAGGCCTCAGCCTCAGCCCCCGACCTCCCCGCCCCCTTGCCCATGACCTCGCCAATGGCATTGCACAATTACTCAATAGGAATACTACTCTCCTCCTCCCCCTGATGACGGGTTGGGAGTGTTCGCCCCCCCCCGCGTACTGTCGTTTACACACAGGATTCCCCGGAGCTGGGTTTTCGCCTGCATGTTTTCAAAATGCTGCTCTCGCTGAGGCCCCGGCCTCATTTTCGGGCCCCGCTCGTTCCGAATCGTGCTCCTGCTGCAGCGCTGGCCTCATTTCCGTGCTTCCGCTCGTTCCGAATCGTACTCCCGCTGCAGCGCTGGCCTCATTTCCGCGTTTCCGCTCGTTCCGAATCGTGCTCCCGCTGCAGCGCTGGCGTCATTTCCCGTGCCATGCCACGGCATGCAATGCAATGCTAGGTTGCGTTCCGCTGCGCGATGCCATGCCTTCAGCTGAAGCTGTGATATGCAGTGCTTAAGTGCCACGTCGTGCTATGCCATGCTACGCTTTGATCTTCAACGCCATGCTATGCAATGTTATGTTCGGGGCCGCTGTGCGATGCCATGCTTTGCGTTGCAAAGCTTTGTGATGCAATTCTTCACTACGCCACGCCACGCCATGCTGTGACATACTACGCTTTGCGGTGCTCTTCTACGCCATGCCATGCCGTGCTCTACAATGCATCGCGTACCCTTTCGGGATCATTGCCCTGCTCGACATCCGACTGTGCGAGTAGAGAGGGGATCTACGCCATGGTAAGGGATGGGAGGGAGGGGCAGGATGTCAGATACGACGCGAGCGCACCTAACTTGCCTCCTGCACTTCCCTCTCACCCTCCTCTCCTCCCGCCTGCTCGCGAGGCGCCCGGCGTGAATTACGGCGTTGCCCATGCGTTGCGTCAGTTGGGAGGTTCCCCGCACCCCCCCGCGTCCTCCCTGCGCCTTCTCCTGCCCCCCCTTTGCGGCCGAAGCCTCTGCCTGGCCTCCCCTGCTGCAGGGGACCAGGCTGCGGCTGCTGCTGCTCGGGCAATACGTGGAAGCAGCGTCCTGGCACCGTGTCCACCAGCCCGCCCCCCTCCCCGGAGGAGAGGAGAGGACCAGGAAGTGTCGGGCCCCTGCTTGTATCTGTCACTGCAGCTCCTTCCGAAGGCATGATGAAGCCCCCCTGACGCATCAAGCCCACTATCCGCCCGTTTGCGTGGACCAAGAAATCCCTGGGATGCTTGCCTCCCCAGCTCAAACAACAGAATCATAATAAACGGAAAAGTGGTCCGTGGCACCTACCCCCTTGGCGCCCGCCACACACCCCCTCCCCGCTCCACCCCCCTCGCCTCAGATTAGGTCGACTATGGCAAACAAGTCCGCCCGCGACTTTCAAAACAAAAACTCCTGGAGAATGGCCAATCTCCAAAAAAACTTGCCGTGCCAACAAACTATCAAGCGAAATATCCGACACAAAATTTGGCTTCCAAAAAAACCTTAACGAAATCTGCAACGAACAACTTCTGGAGAAGTCCCAGGGATTCGTTTTAGATAACCAGTAGAGGTTCCTAAGATGTCTGCACGCCAGAGATGTTCTGGAGATGTTCTGGAGATGACTGCACCGCGGAGAGTCTCCATAGATTGTCATCGAGATCTCCAAGACAAGAAATGACAGATTTCCCCAAAATGTGTTCGACTTGGTTTAGCATTCACGCTCTCTCGGGCAACCGAAGAGGCGTCCAAAATGGCCCTGGGACGGCCCAAGCGGCACCCGACAGGGCCCCGAGATGGCCCCGAGGTACCCTAAAAGGCTCCCGAGAAGGCCGTAGGGCCCCAAAGCGGCCCAAGAGACCTCCGACACGACGCTAAAGCACCACACCCCCAAAACGACCAACGGAGACCCCATAAACAGCCTTCGAAGGCGACAGACAAGCCAAGAGCCAAGAACGATCCAGGACACCCAAACG